GTAGAGGAAAGCTTTGGGAGGGCTAAGCAGGGTGGCAACTATAGTAGGTGTCTGGATGTTGGGAGGCGAACTACAGGGAGAATTGTTCCAAATGGTGGTGGAGGGAATGCAGCAGCGACAATTAAGGGAGGGAGGCGAAGGAAGGGTAATGCAGGACAATTTCCACCTCGATGTCATGATACAACCGGATCATCACTCAACCCTTAGATACAAAACTAGAAGGGAATGACCGGGACGCTAATGGTTTTCCCAACAAAAAACACACGAGAAACTCCCCTAAGATGCAGTGAAAATAATATGTATGGACCTAGAGTAACTAAGAAGTGGACCTCACTCCCCATGGGCGGTAAATTTCTGCTTGGAATGACCAATCGGTCCCGCCTATACTTAGCCGGTCTAGGACGATAGACGTGGCAATTGTCGCACCTATGGCGCCTGGACGCCCACGGCACTGATGCTCTACAATTAGAACACAAAGGTGAGGTGAATTTGTTTGGCTTATAATCTAGGACTTCGTAGAGCTACAACTGTAAATAATATGGAGTAATGAATACTAAACTTTCAAAGGCCAAAATTTCTTCAAAGAACAACACAAGTCCCCAACTTAACCAAAATATTACCAATATAAAATTCACAAGGCATTATTAAAGATAACACATTATAGTTTAAACAATACATAAGATTAGTACAACGGTCAATATTTGTAGCCTTGTATTATGTTGCAAGAAAATCTATTCGTATGAATAAAAACTAAATAATGGAATGGATAAATAAACTAAAACAGTATGAAATTAGGAAGTCAATTACTACATAAAAAAGGGAAATCTCTTAACAAGCAACATTAGATTCCCTATCCCCAAAAAGAGATTTTAAAACCTAAACAAATAATCATTATAAAAGAAAAGTCCTTAGTTTAACAAAATTTGACATAACAATGCATGAAACTCACAAATTATTAGTAATTTTAAAGCACAGATAATCTAATACGAGTTCCTATAGGATTTAAAATAACTTAAAATTATTGCTAAAAGCATGGACATCTCACATTGAATTTAAGGTTTAAAGAATAAAAAATCTCAAATACAAGACATGAAAAGAAATTTGATGCAAAAAAAATAATGAAGCAAACTGATCTTCTCTTTCTTAGGTCCCACTCAATGGCATGAAGCTTTAAAGAATCCAAGGCACCATTATTTTAGCACATATCAAATTTTATGTCACAATTATTTTAGCACTTATCAAATTTTATGTTGCTAAAAAGCAAATCAAAATTGCCTTCCACATTCCAGTTTTCAAGCAAGCCTTTCTATTCAATATCATTGAAAGATCGGTATTCCCCCCAAATAGCTAGCTTTTATCTGCCTTAAAGCTTTAAAAAGCATCGTCTCCAACCATTCATTGATAGATTGGTACTTGCCCCAACGTTTCATCTTCATTTATTTCCAAGATATCCACTAGTACTTACTAAACCTAGTTTATATTAATAACATTGTTATTATTGGAGCATATTTAGCACTTACTACCAATTAGCAACATCTTCAAGCCACATTTCATATAAAGAAACTTGGTGCTCTTAGATCTTAGATTTGAAAGTTTACAGTAATTTCTCTATTATTTTCCTGAACAATCAGAAACATACAAAAGATCCAATTATTTTGACAAACTTTATACTTCCTGTAAATATACTCCTGTAAAAGTAAGCACGAGTATCATTATGAGAAAGTGAAATTCTCCCTAATACTATCGTATTTCAATAGGGTGTGATACCAGAGTTAACCTAAACAGCAACTAAGAACAAATATTATTACTGAAAAGCCAATAGGCGATTACAACCAACATACAACAAAAGGAAAATAAAAACAAACTCAAGACTCCAACTGAAACTAGAGTGAGTCTCAGGTGGTGGTGGTGATCGGCGAGGGGCTGGAAAGTGGCAGGGTGATGGACGAGATGGTCGGCTAGCAGAAAACAGCAAGGTAGTGGTTTCCCGGGTTCTAGACAGCAAGCATGCAGCGGATAACGTGGAACAGCTGTCCTGGAAGATGGCAGCAAGTGGGAAGGGGGTAGACTGCGGGTTCTGGAAGCGGCTATGCATGGGAAGGGAAGAAACAGTAGCTGGGGAGGCTGAGACAGGCAGGGATAGTGGTGCGGTTGCAGAGGGGAACTCCTGGTGGTTGGAAAAGCAGCAAGGCTGCAGGGAAAAGAGGCCAGGATGGTTAGAACAGCAGAAAAACAGCCGGGAACGACTATTCGGGTCGTCAGTAGCTAGGGGGGACGACGGTAGCAGCGAAGGGAATGCATGGGACTACGGAACAGCAAACGGATGGCTGTCCAGGTGTTAGTTGTGAGAACAGGAGGCTAGAATTGAAAAACTGCAGTTTGTTAATCTTTTTTTTTTAGAATATTAAGAGTAATACCTTTCCTTTGATGAGAATGTGGTGATGATTCTATTACTTTTGCCTGTATGCTACTTATGTCTTATTATTTCATTATTTTGATTGGCTTATTTTACTCGTTCTCTTCCCACAATCCCCTTAGTTTTTCTAGAATTTCGCTCCAAGCTCTAGCACTTCTTTCCCTTTCTTCAACCCAAGTTTAGCCAACTAGCCAAAATCTGTCTCAATCCAACCAACTTGCCATTCTTCAACTCCACACACCCAAAATTTCACATCATAGGCCCTAACAGATTTTGCATCTATTTCTAATATCCTACACCATTCATAGAATACATTCATCCAACATGTCCCCACCAAAAGCCCCTCTTAATCTCCACACAAAATCAATCTCCTGAATAATTAGCCCAAATTTCACTTTCCCTTTTAATATCCATCAAGTAATATTAGTCCATCGCATAAACATTATTGCTTACATTCATTCTCCATCAAGTGATATCAGAGCCAAAGTCTGATCAAAAATTGATGATTAAAAGGCTCCAAGTCCTTCACAATCACTTGCCCTTGTAAAAGCATTGCCGATTTGGTGGTTCCATTACTTTCAATTGGTAAGATTGGTAAGTAAATTTTTGCATATTTGTATATTCACTACTTGTTAATAGTGTATTAGACCTAATCCAAATTTTTTTTTCAACTCCTTTTTATCCTTCCTTCATGCATGGACACCTTAACATTAATAGACATAATGAGGGAAACCTTACAAGGGATTGAGCCAAAATATCAATCAACTACAAGGAAGACACAACTTATGTCGAGAAAATCCAAATCAATATGAGTCTCTGGACTTCAAACTTAGTAGCAATCCATGTGAATCACATAAAGAATAAATTTATCAAAAAATTAACTTAGAGAAAAATATCAAAATAATCCCCTGACTCTTTGTATGGTGCATTTTAGTCCCAAAGTTTACAAAAATGTCAATCTAGTCCCCAACTCTTTAATGAGAGCTAAAATAGTCCTCATTGTGGACTATTTTAGCCCATGTTAAAAGAGTATGGGGACCGATTTGACACTTTTATAGACTTTGGACTAAAATAACCTCATGTAAATAGTTAGAGGACTATTTTGGCACTTTACTTATTAACTGAAAGAAGAGCTTATCCTAAATCCATATTTTAATATCATTGAAACCTTGATAAGGGGGTGATGATTATTCTATTACTAATGTGCTAATAGTATTCTTCTTATTTCTTTATTTAATTGGGTTTATCTTTACTCATTTTTTCCACACATTCCTCTAGTTATTCCAGAGCTTCTCTCAAAGATAAAACACTTTTCTCCCCTTGTTCTTTCCAAATTAAGCCATCTAGAAAAAAATTGTCTCAATCCAAATAGCATACCGTTCTTCAACTTAACACACCAAAACTTCCACATCATAGCCCTTAGCAACCATATATTTTTCCAAGATCCTAAGATACTCATTGAATACCCATAAAATACCTACACCCATTACATCCCCCTCCATAAACTTCTCTTAAGCTCCACACAAAATCAATCTCCTAAAAGTCAGCCCAAATCGCACTATATCTCATTATTTATCAAGTAATATTAATCTACCACATAAACATTATAACTTCCCATCATTCTTTATTAAAAAATTGGTACTAAGGGTATACACAGTGCTGACAAGCATCATCATTTCATATCCTAAAACCATATGAAGCAATCATAAAAACTCCATGTCCCTTCTTTTATCATTTAAGTACACAAACATGAAAGCTAAATGTAAGTTATTCTCCTAGTCTAGTTGTTTCTTCTACATAATTGTGTTTGCCTAGTTGTTTGTTCAACATGATTATGTTTGCCCTAGAATAACAAAAATATGAGTCCAATAGCAAAATTATGAACTTTTAGTTTTTCATTAATGGTGTGATTGGTTGCTTTGATGGTATCAGAAGTTTCAGTTTTACGCTACCCTTTTGATTTTGGATTCAATATATCAACTATTTTATTTATTTACTCTAATCTAAAATCTATTAACCAGAAATTTAAAAGCACTGCTAAAATACATTTCAAAAAATTGATTTAATTGTTAAGTTCGTGACCAGAGAATACAATAATTCAACAAACTAATAAAATAGTGAGCCAATTAGATAAATGCATAAATACTTGCTAAAACTCTATTAAAATCCTCAAAATAAAGATCAAGGCCCCCTAATCATATGGTACAAAACTTGAACAACTAAAGATAGTATGTGTTATCTATAGTACGTCATATGCTAATCGAAAATAACACTCCCCAAAAATAGAAAAATAATATTACACAAACGTTGAGTTAGACAATAATGTACATTTCAATGAAAAACACAATACATTTCCACAACTAAAAAAAACTAAAGCTTTCTTCAACAAACCCTAGACTCACAAAATCAAGATATTAATAGCAATCTTCATGACAAATTAAGATAATGTAATTATACAATAAAACTAATTTCAATAACTTTGACAATTATATGCTAAGAGCATTGCAGCATGTTGTGCAATTGTTTTGTTAACAATATATAAATTTTAATAGTATATAAAACAAGAATCCTACAAATTGCATACCTAAACATATAGGACATTGTACTTCTTTTCGTATATCCATTAATTTAACAAGGACGTACCTGTAGAAAAACAATTGTTAAACCATTTCATGTAGGGTAAAAGACATGTCATAGAAATTATTGTCATAAGTAGTACAAAAAAACAAATTAAAATAATATGTTAAAGACTGAAAAGTTATATGCCATATACATAGGCTCCCATGAGATTTGGAATAGTTTGATCAATGAACTGAGGCAATTCATAATAGACAAATCTTTTCGATGTTTCTACGTACATGACTTCCAAATCACAATAATGAAAGCTAAACAAAGCACCAAGGTTGTGCCCGTATAATCAAGAATATGTTAACTATAACATGAATATGTTTTCTCCTTACTTTATCCTAAAAGTTAAAAAAATCAATGGCAAATACACTGATAATCATGTAGCTAGAAACTCATGACAGTTCTGTGATTGAAGTATACAAATAAACAAGCAAATCATGAAGCTTTTCATATCATCATGGATTTCAAAAATTAAGAAAAAACAACAAGAAGAGCATCATAGGAAAAGTTCAATTATTGTTGAGAAAATAGTATTAGTGTTAGCTAATAAAAGTGATACAAAAATGGCCAACAAAAGAATTAGGAAAATTTTTAAATGAAAGATAGAGAATAATACAAAAGCCTCAAGCCAAAAAAAAAAAAAAGTAGATATAGGACATCAAGCATAAAAATCTTTACTTATGATACACAAACTTATAATATATAGGACTTAAGCGTCAAATAAAAGTTCGATGCAAACATATATTTACACCAACATAATTTAAACAAGGTAAACTGTGTCATAAGATTTTAATCTAGCGCCAAGTCAAAACATGAATGACAAAGTTAAGCCATGGCTTCTTTCAACAATTTCAGGCAAGATCTTCTTCTTTTTCCTATTTTATTATGCTAAAGAAGCTATAACAAAACTTTTCTTTGTAATTCATGAGTGGTCAAATCATGAAAATAATAATTTAGTAGCAATATCTATTTTTTAGATAGAATAAAATTATATTTGAAGTGATTAGTGCTTTTAATAAAAAATATATATATGATTTTTAATATCATGTACAATCATGTCAATGCCATTTATTTTTTAAGAATTATTGTGCCCAATGTACAAATATTAAAAATTTGAGTTCGAGCTTGTCATCCTCGATTGGACCCCAAGATTTCATATTGAAACAAGCAAACACCGAATCAATTCGAAAACCATTATCTCAAGTCTTCTTTCAAAATATGGGATAGATTTTTCTTCTGGAAAAAGAATTATCATTCTCCATTAATTAGATTTTGATAACATGATCTTTAAATGCAAGATCAAAACTATCGATCCTTTTAACATCATTAAAACTAATGGAATTCACAATTTCAACATTTTTTTTAAGAATGATCATCAATCCATGCAATAAAATGGATAGCTCTAACAATATTAAAAGATTATTTTGATTTTAAAAAGCTGCCTCTTTTTCCTTCAAACTCTCCTCGAGAGTGGTCACCTTTTCCTCAAGAGTGAGATGACTCACACTTCTCTCCAAAGCCTTAGTGAGGCTCTCATTCTCGACGCTGGTAGACAATGCAAAGGGCAAAAAAATCATAAAGTTGGTATGCCAACTTGCAACATCTACCTTTATACAATCTAGGTGGAACTCCTCGACAAGAACAGTGTTGAGTTCCCTAAAAGTGCACCCCCCCTCCCCCCTCCTTCCCACCCACAAAAAATCTCTCTCACTCTCATTGTCCTTGAATGAAGGGACAAATCCTATTAAGAGATACCTAAAGATTTTCTTGCCTCCTAGTTTGGATCGGTGATCAACATCTTTGTACCCCGTGCATACTCATTACTCTCCCTAAAGACCTCATCCATAATTATCTCCATTGTGATAATGATCTCCTACAATGTCACTACAAGGCTAGATTTCCTTGAGTGGCCCAAGAAGATTGCCCTCTTGTAATCACTCACCTTATAAAGGGAAGAAGAAGCATGACAAAACTCAAAACATAAGTTGAAAGAACTGGTGAAAAAGTTGGTAGAGTTTGTCATGAGAAAACAAGGAGGTGAAGTTGGCAAAGAAGGAGAAGCAACTTGGTTAGCCCCTAAGCGACTAATGATGGAGAAATAGTAGAGTCAAAACGAATCACCCCAACAACAAAGTTGGAAAGTTCCTCAAAAAATATTGTTGACTTATCCATCTTCCCCTTCCCATTCTTCTTAGGCCACTTGCTCCTATAGGCCTCTTTGTCAATGGAAGCACCCTAAATTTTCTACAGCTTCCAAAGAAGATGGCCCATTATGAATGCAAAGTAAAACCAAGTTCTTTCTACCTTTCAAATGAAACAAAAAGTGCCATGAAGATGAAGATATAAGTTGAATTTGACAACGTGACGTTAAAAAAACTATTTTCCATGGCAAATTAAGGTCTAATGCTTCGCATTAAACCCCTTCTCTCACATCTCCAAGAGCTCGGCATATTTTTTTTTTACGGTGGGAAGGAGACCAACATTATCTCCAAACCAAGCTTGCTCCGTCTAAGTTCCAATATGCCAAGCAATGAGCAACTTTGCCGAAAGAAAAGAATTAGGTATTGTAGCCCTTAACTTTGTTCTCCAAGTTGGTCATCGTCGCATAGTTGCCTTGAAGGCCTTCACTCAGAACATGTAGTGGAAGAGATTTAAACTCCACCTCACCACCCACTAAAGCATGTAGCCACTAAAGAAACCATGTTGGAAATAGAATTCATCATCACTTGAGGAAGAGTGTCGGCGATAAAAAGTTGGGGGAGTGTTGCCCGTAGGAAGCTGTCGGTCGCCGGAATCGAAATCCCGTCGCCCGCTTCGAAAGAACGTTTTAATTTACATATAGATTTAAGTTTAGAAAAATATGAAATCAAATTAACCCCATAATTTTCACAATTTAAATGAAAGAGCAATCTACCTCAAACTCTGTATCTATCCCGATGGTTAAACACAATACTTGAGGATGAGGCTCGATCAAATAAACTAAGAAATATATGACGTTTGTTTGGTCTGCAAAACCGTTTTATTTGTCGACAAATTCCCCTATTAATATGAAAAATTAAATATGGTTTATTTTAAGTTGGGTTCGGAAAAGCTTCCTATAAGAGCAAGTCTTTATAGTTAATTATATCTTAAATGACCGAAGTCACTTAAGAATACTCTCGATAAAAATCAGGAAAAATTATCTTTAATGACTTCAAAAGGATGAGATTTTTCAACGAAATCGGGCAAAGAGGTGTGAAATGAGAATGGGTTCAAACTTGGAACATTTATTGTAGAATCCAAAGGAGGAAGAACTAGGGGATGTCACAGATGCAGAGGAGATCCTCGGTGACTTCCCAGTCTACCCTATGGTTTGACTTTAGTTTCGAGGAAGAAATAGTCAAGTGTTTTATCCTGCTAATTTTATTTATTTAGGACTTACATTCGTGTGAAACGATCACACAAATAGCCTGGAAGATGTGAGGATTTAGGTCGTAACGAACAACAACCTCGGGATCCTAAAATAAGTTAGGGCTTAGATTGCACAGTAGAACTGTACAAATGCCTAAAGGAAAAGTTGAGGATTTATGTTGCATCACACGAACGAAAAATCCTATCGATTGTTGTTTTAATTTCTAGGAAATGAATGGTTTAGCTAGGGAAGACATGTTCTGTTGTTGAAGATTGTCGTGCTGCCCACCGCGCTAATTCCAAGCTCTTTGTCGTGACGAGTTTAAGTTTTTTAGGATGTCAGGTTATAATGTCAAATTCAGCGGCCATATGGTTGTAGTTCTTCAGATATCTTATAGATAATATGTTGAAGTTGTACAGTGTATAGCATAACAGTAGGGTATGTAGCACAGGACAAGCAGTAGAGTATGCAGTAGAGAAAGCAGTACAACATGCGGTGTAAAGAAAAGTAAAAGGTACAACAGGGAAGTGATTATAAGAGAATAATATGTTATAAACATAAAACAAACATGTATACCTGGGAGTTCTGTTGTTCCTTAGGTGTTTATATAAACGAAAACAAAGAAACATCGTCCAGAAATCTCGAGAAAGATCGTCAAAAGACTCACAACAAGAGAAACGCGAGGAAATCGACAAAGTGATAAATCGATAAAAATCGTAGAAAACACGAGAAAATCTCGAAAGAGGACCACGAGTGCTTTGTCCAAAGGTTTCGATAAAACATATGAAAAAATCCGAAGAGATGGGACAGCAAGCACTCGGGTAGGGCTAGGCTCAACTATATATCAGTACTCGAGGGTCGTCGAAGGCTACTCGGTCACCCGGATGTATAAAGTCCGTCACTCCACTAGAAGGATATCCTATCAGGTAATCAACCAGTGGACAACCAAATTTAAAATTTATATTTTTAGCATGCACATAGGTTTCAAACATGCAAAAATGGGTTGTATCAATTTTTTTTTAAGCGAAAAAAACATTTTTGCTTAGAAAAAGGTTTATATGTTCTTATCAAATTTGTTTTTATCAATTTTAAAAAGTAGTTGTCCACGAGTCGATCGCGTTGTCGGGCATAAGGCTACCAACAACCTATGAAAGTTCGGGTCAACTCCCGTTAGTCTTGTGTCGGTGAATGATATTGTCATCCTATAGCTCACCGAGTTCCTGAATCGGATCCTGATGGATTCCTGAATCGGATCCCGATGTCATAGAATGACATATCATTCTGATATATCTCTTGTGTGTCTTTGTCATCGCTGCCCTAAGCCCCAAAACAAAACTGACCTACTTGCGACCTTGTTTGATGGTTTCACGTATAGCAAAAGGTTATACGTAGACACTTATGTATCGGACACAAGCATCGAAAATTGAACCAAGAAGCAAGAAAAAAAAGAACAAAAATGAGGTGAGAGAGAGGAGGTACTAATCCACCTAAAACATCGAAAAGAATGATGAATCAGCCCTTAAAACTCATGACAAAAATACCTGAAAAATGAGGCCCCAAGATCCTTGAATCAATCCGGAAGAATATCACTTTCTCACATTTTTATAAATGGCTTAACCCGAGT